AATGCATTAACCCATCTTTATGTTATAGATAGATTTTCCATTTCTTAGGCGGTTTTTTTGTCTTTTCTTTTATGTTTCTTGATCATTATGTTTTCTTCTTCTCGTGTATGTATGTCAGTTCTATCATGGGCTTTTACTCTTGCGTGGTTTACCCTCTGGATGTTGATGCTATACTTGACGGATGAGTTGAAGCTCAAGTTCACGGATGCAGCTGCAATCGTGAACGTGTTTGCGGGTGTATCAGCTATTGGCCATCTTGGCATGCAGTTTCTAGTTGATGCATTTATTGGTCACATTTGGATGCTCTGCCTCTCTACTTTAGCATTCAGTTTCGTAAGACCATGACCTCTTTCTTTAAAATGCCCAGTTTTGGTATTGTAGTATGATTTTTTTTTACTCGGTGTTTAGAAGATAAAATGCTATCTGGCTTTCAGGGTTTCGGGTTCTTGGCAATATCAGCATCACCAATACTTTCCAATAGTTCTGGCTTAGGAAAAAAGGGGCTGTTCTATGTAGCGCTAACGGTTATATCGGTTGGTATATTTGGACGGTCAATCTCGTTTGGAGCATTTACGGAAGACCAAATGGAAGATGTTGGGAACAAGGGAAATCCCGCCATGCTCGTAAGCTTTGTCATTGGAAATGTGGGGAATTTTGTATTCCCGTTACTTGCTGCTATTGCAATTCCTCAGATAAATCCGTGGTTTGTAAGATTCGCGATACCCGCTGGGTGTGAGGTTTTAGCAATGCTGATTTTTCTGTCCGGTGCGCGTTCATACAAACGGGAGAAACCAAATGGGAGTCCTATCACAACAGTGTTCCGGGTCTTTGTAGCTTCTGCTTCCAAAATGTCTTGTGGATACCCCAACAACTCAACCCAGCTCTATGAACAAACCGAGTGTGATCCTGATATTAAGCCCCACACAACAAGTTTGAGGTTCGATAAAAAGTTTGTTTCACTTGGAGTTACATTAATTAACGACCCAACTCTTGCCGTTATATTATGTATGTAACTCCTAACTATTGATTTTCAAATAAGGTGCTTGGACAGAGCTGCGATGATACTCCAATACGAGCCCTTGGAACAACAGAGGAAAAACAAATGGAGACTTTGTCGGGTGACGGAAGTAGAGCAAACCAAAAGCGTCATACACACGGTTCCGTTGTTCACTACATCGCTCATTTCCGGGATTGTCTTCTCCCTCGGCAACACTTTCTTCCTCGAACAAGCAAACCATTTGGACTCCAAGTTCGGATCTTCGAA